CTTTCCATGCAAATGAATGGTAATAGTGTTCCCAGAACTAAATAATGCCCTACCAAATCATACCTAAGAGAAACATTCTTCTTTGTAATGGGAGGGGAACCTGTGATAATACAGGCTTTCCAAGTCAGCTATCTGTGCCTACACCCTTCCCTAATATAAAGAGAGCTACTAAGTCCAAGTTAATGCTGGATACGCCTCAGTCTTGCCACTTTTGCCCCTAGTGAAGAATCCTTCCTTCTTCCCTCTTTCTAACCTCTAGTCAAACAGGCTTTTAAAAATCCTGAGTTAGTTATTTCTATGATGCTCTTTAACGCTGGGGCTGCAACTCTGTAGTCCTGCTCCCTTTGTCAGTTAGTTCCCTGATTGACTTTGCCAGCAGGGGACATGAGGAGACTGGAAAGCTATTTGCTTCCTGTTCATGGAAGTGTGGGCATGACCACACGTCACATCATTCCAGCAGCAGCATCTAACTCCAATAGCATCAACTGCTTCCACCACTTCCGGAACCAGACTTATTCCCGCCTCCCCTTCCTGTTCAGAGACACCAGCACTAACTGGTCACCAACTCCTCATCAGAGGTCTGAGTGCCATCTCCAGTCTCCTCATTAAGCTTCTGAGGAAACAGGACCAGCCATGCGGGATCTCCCCCAACCCAGAAGTCCTAATTCCAGCTCTGCAGGGTCTTGCTCCAAGCTCCTAGTTTAAAAAAAAATCCCAAATCTTACTTTTATTCCCCTACCTCTATAGTTGATTGCTATTTCTTACCTGTGTCCCCTCTTTGCCGTTCTCTTAATATTTGGCTAATAATTCTTCATATTAAGTTTTCTGTTAAAATACCTGTTGTGGTTTCTGTCTCCTGATTGGACTGACAGATAAAGTGCAATAGAGGAATTCTTTCAATCTGGTTTCTTATCAACACTTCTTTGAGAACACAGATGTCAGTTGCTTTCTTCCCGAAGATCATTGTCTTTATTGATTTGTGTTCCAAGGTCAAGCACTGTCCCCAATTGGTAGTCAGAATTGACTGTGTCAGCAAATAAAAGCAAATCTGTCCCTCGTGTCAGTGTCATGAGGAAAGAGACATCTGAGCCAGCATAAACACAGATTAGCCTGCCATGGTTTCATGGATTCTGGAAGACACTAAACCCCTGGATCAGAGACAAAGAACTTTCTATTCATGGCAGTAGTAGTAGCCAGAATGGTCAGCATTTGCATTGGTTCCTCAAACCCCAACGCCCACATGGCATTGTGAAGAGAACTATGTGACAGGTGCACATGTAATGGGGTGAATTACTGGAAGGGAAACCTGTGCTTAGGAAACCTGTGCTGCATCTTTTACAAGTAAGCCACCCCTATGCTTCTGAGAGACACTATCTCTTTTCAAGTTTGTGCAGCAAAATGGTAGTTCAGAATGTTAAGAGAGACTAGGAGAACTGTCCCCCAACATTCATCTGAAGCTGGCACATAAACATACTGCAAGGATGACTAGTTGGATAATTGAGTTTCTTATGTTTCCATGTTAGCAATCTAATGTGAGTATCTATCCTAGAAGCTAGAGTAGTTAAGTCTCTGGGTCAAAAGTCTAAACAGGTTATTTGGGTGAGTTTAATTTAGCATCATTGTGTTTCTCTGAACTTAGATTTTTCTAAATCAGGGTATCAATCCCATTTCTCATCGACATAGATGTGATTTGGAACTATAAGGTCTTATTCTGGTGTAACTATGCCATCCTTCTCTAAAAAGTGAGTGCGCTCTCTGGATATTACCCATGATAGGACTGGACTATACAGAGAGGGAAGTCAGATTCGCGAGGAGTTGGAAATAATTTTATCCTCCTTGGCATCACCTAACCCCAATCCCATAGTCTACCTTAGAGATCTAGTTGAGGAGAAAATTGCTTTCTGCTGGTTTTCCTTAATATGTAAGGAAATATATTTTCTGTTTACAGATCATTATCCTTAAAATACACATTGGTTTTTAGAACCTTAGGAAAAAGCAATGCCCTAGATATTAGTACGCTAAGACTCTTAACCTCCTAGATCAATGTCAAATGTGAGATCATAGCTGAGGAGTGACATATATAGGAGGCAGTCAACAAATAGCTATTGTTCAGTCTGGACTCTGACAAATAACAGAAACCAATGAGGACACAATTGTGCAAAATAGGGACTTTATTATAATAATAATAGAGTGTCTTCTAGAAACCCACAGGCAGGAACCAGCTAATTTTGGAATGCCTGCCCTGCTCTTGCCATTCTCTCTGTATAATGGGGCCCACTAAATTCAACTGCTATGTGCCAGGCAGAGTGCTTGTGGCTGGATCAGAAAAGGAAAGACACAAGGTTTTTTACACTGTAAGCCCCACAGCTTACAGTGTAGCAGAGAGAGATAAATCAGATCATCACACCAGTGAATATAAAACTGCCACTTGCAGGGCCTCCCCTGGTGATGCAGGTGGTTGAGTGCAGCGCTGTGAAGCTGTCCACAGCCTCTGCAGCACATGTTCGATCCCGGCCTGCTGGAGAGATACTCACATGGCATGGCAGACCTCTCTTGTCTCACCTGCTGCTCCCCTCAGCAGTGTATTTCAGTCAGTCTACCTGTTCTGCTTCCCCGCTTTTTCTCTGGTGAATCCTCTCACCCTCCCGCACATCTGGCCTGTACCCCAGTTCTTGTATGCATGAATAAATAAATCTTTTTTCCCCCACAGGTGTAATTCACTTTATTTCCTGGTATAAAAAACAATAAATCTTTTAAAAAATGAAATAAATAAAACTGCCACTGCAGAGATGCTGAGAAGAGCAGATACAAGGTGCTGAGTGTGCAAAAAGATATCTTACCTATTTAGGGGGATCAGGAAAGGATTTCCCGAGGAAGTAGTGAGCAGAGGTTCAAGTTTAAACAATAAGAAGACATTAGGGGAAAAGGAAGAGCTTTTAGGTGTGGAAAAGAGCAAAGGCATCCTGGCATGAGGAACCATGGAAGAAACCATGGCTGGAGTTCCATGACTGGAACAAAAGAAGAGAAGGTAACCTACCCAGATCATAGTAAAACCAAGACCATCAATGGACATTTTAGCTCAGATCTATACAACTCCTAAGCTAAAAACTACCAAGCCACCCATCCTTGTCAGCAAACATTATTTTCTTTCCACTCAAAACTTTCCATTGGGACAGAGGTCCATCAATTAATGCTTACACCTAAAGAGGAAAATGGCAGTCTCCCATCATCCACCAACAACTGCATGGGAGCTAGCTAGTAAGTGCTTGCCAGATTTCACCTTGTTGTTTAAATTGTGGTCTAAAATCATGTTCTTGAAAATGTCCCCAAGTTTCAAAATATCCAAAGGAAAAGCACCCAACCTTGTAACACAAATATGCACCCAATTAAGAACACTTTCTTTTTTCTGCTTCTGCCAGGAAATAGATTTTCTATCATTGTGATTCCACATTGTTTTAAATAAACATGCAAATAAATACGAGAGGAATGAGACAATATTATGTCTAAAAACAAAAACCAGAAAATGCTTTGAGCTGAAAAAACAGATATCCTAGATTGATTTTCAAGCAGCAGCATTTTCAACAATTTTCCCAATTTAGAATTCTTCCATATCCTGGGATTTATACAGTTCATCTTCAAATAATACTGACTGGCCTACCACAGGCAATTTGACATGTCTCGGCTCTTAAGCAAGACATGATATGACTTACTTCCCTCATGATATAAAAAGGTTATGGTCCCAATGGGGACGGACAAATATATGAATGGTCACTAGAATGTAAAAAGGCTCCAATTATTGGTGATCTTCCGACAACATGGTGGGTAGGGCAAGCAATCTCTGTTGTAAAATCAGAATTTACGAAGTGGCCACTGCTACCACCAAAACCAGGAAGCAATTTCAGTAGTTATATGAAAAAGAGCAAAAGAAGGGAAAAAAAGGTAGCTTTTCTTGACCTACTGTAACTTTATATAATAATAATGAATTGTTTCCTAATATGTAGTATCATTATCTTCAAGGAAAATTAAAAAAAAAAAATACTTTACAGAAATCCTCTATGAAGCATAAAACCTAGAAGACAGTATTAAAATGGTAAATCATTTAGCTGTAAAAATAAAGGAATTAGAGCAAAAGAGAAGTCTAAGTTTTAGTTCTACAGAATAGGACTTTTTTAAAAAAAAGATGAAATATTCCTATTTCACATCATATGCAAACTGAAGACCAAAATACACTATTACACAAGTATTAGAAAAAATTTATACACATAAATATATATTTACATTTGGGGTGACACAATATCATCAAAGTCCAAATATCATCAGAGAAAAAAGTAATAGATCCAAGGTTCCCCAAAGGCTAAAATACTAGCAAAAGACTGAGCTCTTTAACAAAATTGAGATACACAACAAATCAAAAAGACAACCAACCAACCAACAGGAAAATAATGAAAGGATTAGAACAGACAATTCACAGAATACAATGGCAAAGAAAAACTGAGAAGGGAAAAGTTTAGCCTCACTAGTGTCAGGGAAATGCAAAATAAAAGCCATTCTCTCACCTAGTAGTAACAAAATTTACACTATATTTGCTATTTTCAGCTCTTCTCATCCCTCAACCAGGCCATCTAAATATAAACTGAATTACCTCTGAAAAGGCCAACACTGGGGACCTCTCTACTACTGCTCTGAGCTTGCTGACCCAACCAACTCACTCTAGGAAAGCACAACTCCCTCCTCCCCCAACCACAGCCACACAGGGTATGGGAAGGGAAGCCTGACACTGTCTGGTCCTTCTTACAGTCTCACATGCTTCCTGGCTGCCTGATTGGTTAGTCCCAGCTAAACTCTGAGGAACTGTTTACCCCTTTTTTTTTTTTTTAAACTTAGGATAATTCTTACACATTGGCACATTTCATACATCAGCAAAACCAATAAAAACATTTATAAGAATATAGGTAAGAAAAAAATTCTTATGCACTTGTCAAAAGATAATGTTCAAGAAGTTGGAAGCAAAACAGTAATCTCAAAAGATTTATTTAATTATCAAAGGACGTCAAAGGATGACAAAAGATAGCAGAAACAATACTGAAATAAGATTACAAAGTCGATGTTAAAGTGGTTAATGTCCTACAAGGCTAAACAATGGTAATCTCTTTCCTAGCAGAGGAAAATAACGTCACTCCATCAAACAAAAATCATTGCAGGTTATCAGTAGTATACAAATTAACATCTGGCTTTACAGAGTCTGGCCCTAATCAGTCACACACAGAAAGTGTCAGTTAACTGTGGTTGGTCAGACCACAAGCTCTATCTAGTACAGCAGTCTCCCAAATATTTGATTTCCGGGCATTTCATACACTCGGAAATTATTCAGGACTACCAAGAACTTTGGTTTATGTGAATTATACCTACTAATATTTATAGCATTCAAAATTAGAACAAAATTTTAACATATTAATTCACTTGAAAACAACAAACATAAACATCAGCATTTTTTAAAAATACAGTTTTCCAATACAAAAAAAAATTAGTAACCTCAGTAGCATTGTTCTATATTTTTTACATATCACTGAAATTTCAAAATAATTTACTGATGAAAACAATTAGAGGTCACAGCATGAATAACCAAATATAGCTAGTACAGTGAAAGTACTGCAAACAGCCTGAGTTGGCCTCTAAAAGTTCATGTATCTTTAACCTACCACCCTTAGAAAATTCTACAACATACCAAACAAGCATACTTCCCATTAGCTGTCATAGTTATGACCGTAACACACATCATGCAGTTTGTGGAAAACTTCACTGTACACTCAAAATGAAAAAGGCAATTATGTCCCAGAATAATGAAAATAGTTTTGATTTCACAGACCCCTGGAAAGTCTTGGGGTCCCCCAAAGGTACACTTTGAGAACCACTGAAACTGAAAGGGCATTCAGTAATTCCTTTTACTGATTTCCAGTTTTGAAACATTTTAAAATAATTTTTTTTCAGAATCTTATTTGGTATAGCCTTTTAAAGGCCAGCTGACCTTTGATCCTGACCTTGCTACAAAAATATTCACAGGTTATACATGTATACACAGAATGTATTTCACTGTAAATTCAGTAATGTTCACTGTAGTATCATTAACTTCAGAGAAAAACTGTAAACAAATCTCCCCATAGGGGAATGATTCAAAAAGAGAAATCATATATGTATACATACATGCATACTTATGCACATATTATACATACATACATATTCATGATAAGGTGTCAAGTGAAAAAACTTGCAAAGCACTATTTGTAATGATTTTTCTATTTTAAAACAAAATTTATATGAGCATGTTTAAATACAATTTTTTTTAAATCCAAAAATACACAGCAAACTGTTAATAGCGTTATCTCTGAGAAATATGACAAAAATGGGATAGGGTGAAACAAACCTCACTGTTTTACATACTACTGGATTATTTAAATTTTACAATGATCACATTACCTTTGTCATTTCTAAAAAACCACTAAAAATGACATAGTTGGAACCTGGATTGAATCATCAAAAAGATATTCATAGAAAACTGGTGAAATTCAAATAAAGCATTATCTTAACTTTTAAAATTAACTAAAAACATAAGCAGAAAAACATACAGGCAGTAAATTGCAAAAATTTGACCCAGGAAATAGTGGCATTCTCCACTAATAACCAGAGATGAGGACTGCCAGAAACAGGAAAATGGAAACCTCCATACAATCTAGGAAAGGTCCTGAAGAACTTAGTTTTTCCTGGTTGTACAAAGACTCATTTAAGTCAACTAGGTAAGATCAATAGAAGACATCTGTCACTCTCTTCCTGGGCAGCCCCACAAAGCATTCCAAACATTTGCCATAATTGGCGCTTCTTAGGTTGCACTGCACCGCAGGGCACAGGCTATAGAGGTAACTATAAGGAATAGAATTTCAATTTGGAGTCTTTTCTCTGTACATTCTGAATATCTGTCTTCTTGATTAAGCTATTTATTTGCATTTACTGATCTCCCTCCTCTCCCAATTTTGAGGAAGAAACAATCATTTGTTCCCTATGCCATTCCCAAGAAGCCTTCATCTTTGCTTACATGTGACAGTTTTGAAACAAGGCTGCATTTTGAAGCTCAGTTCCCCTCCAGTTCAGTGGCTTCTCCTCTCACAGGGACCACTCAGTGCATTTCAGGTTAGTGCAGCAGGCAAATAGCTACTGCACAGAGGAAGTAATAAATAAGGCAACTTTCAAATGCTGATTTGAAGTCTGGGCTGTGCAGGTTAAAACATTATCAAAGGAAAAATGGCGGAGCCCGCTCGTCATTTGAGCTTGCCTCCCCCTTCTCCCTTTCCCCAAGAGCTTCCCCACCACCTAGCAGTAGTCTGCACTTAGCACAGCAACTAATACTGACATTTTCATTGTCCCTTTCAGAAACTGACTTTTTAATGGAAAAAAATATTAATAGCAAGTACAATGATTAAGCTTTTAAATATGTTTAAAAAAAAAGTTTCCAATATGGCGTTTTGGAGATAAGAAACAAGGTGCAAAATGGTATACACAGAATGTATCTTAAAAAGTCATAGAAACTTAACTTGTCTGACTAGATGGTTGATGATCTTAAGACATTAATTTTTTTTAAATTTTGGAAGTTTTATCTTCTAGATATATATTTTGTGCATGAGCATTAGCATCAAAATCTCAGGGTGGGGTCGAGTGGGGAGGAAAAATGAGGTGTGGATGAAATCAAAATTGACTATATACTGATAAAGTTTTGAAGCTGTCTGGTTAGGAAGTGCGGTGTCGTCATGTTACTGAAGGATAAAACCACAGTGAGATATCATTTCACACCTGTGAGCATGGCAAATTTTAAAAGATCTTCAACAAGACAATGGGGAAAACAGAAATAAATCAAGGAATAGAAAATGTAAAAATTCTAAATGGTGTACTTAGAAAGAAAAGGATACTACATCTGTGAAAAAAGCAATTAGAGGGCCTCCCTGTTGGCACAAGGGGTTAAGACGCAACCTATGAAGGCTATCTGCAGCCACAGCAATATGAGTTTGAGCCCTGGCCAGGTAGCTACCCACATAGCACAGCAGACCTCTCCTGACTTGCCCACTGCTCCTCTCAGCAGTGTATTTCAGTCAATCCACCTGTTCTGTTCCCCACTCTGTCTCTGGTGAATTCTCTCACCCCCCACACGGGCCTGTATCCCAGTTCTTTATGCATAAATAAATAAATCTTTAAAAAAAAAAAAAGCAATTAGAACAAAAATTTTAGAACACAGCAAGATGACAAAGACAAAACATAAAAATCCAGTGACATAGAATCAAGCCACGAAGTCCCATATTCACTTCATAGGCGTTCCAGAAAAATGAAACACATAAAATGGAAAGAAAATGACTAAACATATCATTTTAGAAATTGTTCAAGAAAAGTACAATTCTTCAAAAGGAAAGGACTATGGGGAAAAAGAGAAAAAGAGAATCAGATTAGAAATCAATCAGCAATCTGATTTTAGCATACAATCACATTACAGTTTCAAAATTCTGAAAGGAATGATTCTGAACCTAATACTCTACACTCAATTTAAAAATGGAGGATTCAGCATTTGATTACTTGATGATATGCTACAGTAAACCAAAATATTAATCCTAGATGCAAGAAAGTAGTGAGAAGGAAACTAAAAAAGTTGCCTAAATAACAATGCTTAATGTTAAAGCCCACACAAACTCATACAGTAAGAGAATAGAGATTAATCTGAAACAAAACCCCTACAATTACCCAAGAAGTCCAGGTTAGGAAGTGAATGGTAAGGTTATTGACTTAATTGAAAGATGGGTGGAAGATATGGCTACTGATTTACTCTAAACATAGAGGGGGAAAAAAAGACAAAAACAACAATCAAACCAATAAAATCAACAATGAGAAAGCACACCATATATAGAACATACAAAACAAGATGGCAAGAATAGTCCAACCATTTCAACAACTCAATTAATATGAATGGATTAAATTCCCCAAAAATCTCCTATTGAACTAGCAAAAGGCTGTTTTTGACTACCTTAACTGGGGAAAGTAGAGAATGTAGAAAGTGTTGAGGACAAAAAAAAAGTATTTCAGTTAAAAAAGGCACAATTCACCAATACCATATTACATCGCAGAAATAAATTAGATGAACAATAAGATAGGAATGGAGAGAGATGAACAATTAACAAGTAAAATCCAAAAAACCTTACATCCAAAACCAGGCAAAGTACAAGCTGCACCTCCTGCCAAAACAGAGCATTTACATATATTGACCATGGATTATATAAGGCAGAAACCATAAAGTCTACATTTTACTTGCCTGGAAATTTGGGTCATGCTTCAGTAATCCCAAGGTTAAATATAAAGGCAATTTAATTAAAAATTATCTACTAGAGATAAACAATAGTTATCATAACTAAAGTCTGTCCAGCATAGTCAAAGTAGCTCTAAAGGAACACTGTCATTCTTAAATACATAAAACAAGAAAGACTGAAATAAATCTTTCCACAATTCAGCATAAGGCAATGACTGTCAACATCCCTGGAGATAGCATGGTTTGTGAAAGCGGCCTAGGAGTCTGTGGATTCAGTTTTGCATTTAAAACCTATAGAATGTGCAAGGTAACCAGTAATAAAATTGCCAACTAAGTCACATTTTGGAATATCAATGCAGTGTGTAACATCCTTTACTTCATCCTGATGAGATGAATTGGATTGGGAGTCATACTGTCAATAATATAAATATTAAACTGAGTTCCTTTAAGTCAGGCAAGGCCTTATCCATTTTTACATATTTAGCCCACGCACAGTAGTGGCACATGAGCAAGCACACAACAGTATTACATGAACTGAATTAATTAATAAACTAGAATAGATGGGGCTTGTTGGGGGAATAGAATATGGGGCTTGTTGGGGGAATAGAATAAAACAAAATAAAATAGGCCTGTACTGGGAAACACTGACTGAAACATTAAAAGAAATCTCAGCCTGTGATGTCATAGTGCTACATGCCAGGTTTTCCCTAATTCTGGATAGGATCTAACATAGAGGAACACAGAGATACAAAAGGAACAAGAGATCTTTCTTGAGAGATGCTATCACTTTGCCTTGCCATTTTTTCTTCTTGTAGGCAAGATTCATGAACTTCAGTTATAACTATTTCAGATAAAATTAATTTTTCAGCTATAACAAATTTTAAAAACCTAGCCTCATTTAGCCGTATGTCAAAAGGGTAGATAGACCCCTAGCTCTTGGCTAGACACAAGTGATGAGACTATAAGATCAAAATCAATGGCATCACAATAAACAGATTTTAGTAGTTTTTATTTATCTAAAACATTTTAAAAGGGTTCAATTACTATCTTCATAGGATAAGCTCTAGTTAAACCATAAAACTGAGGTAATATTTCTTTACAAACAACTATTTCTGCTATAAAAATTAGTTAAACCTCATCACTACTAAACATACTTTTCCACAGGAAAATTAAAAAGGTCCAATTCTGAATCATTAAAAACAAACAAACAAAAAACACCACAAAACCCTCTTCAGTTGAATCTAAACATACATAGAAGGGGTGTCTATATTAGTATTTTAAATGTTCACTATTTGAGCTTTTTGAAGTAATGCCAAGTAGGTGAATTTTAACATATCCTTTGATATAAACAGGAAATTTAAATTTCAAGGCCTTCTGATCATATTAATTTTATCTGGTTTATTTTAAAAATATTTCCCCTTGCAAATTAAAGAATGACTTCCTCTCATTAAAAATGAAATTATTTTATTCTCTCTCCAACCTACTGTACTGCTCAGATGAATTAAGCATTTGTAAAGCTTTTGTCTTTACGACTAAACCAGTTATCTTCAATACTGCTAAGAGCAGACTTCCTTACAAAACAGAAATACATATAAATACAAATAAAAAGCAGAATTCTGCCAGTAAATGTGAATGATCCCAACAATACAGACACAGTCATAAAAACCAGCTATGTATTTATTTGCATAGATTCAAAGAAAGACTTAAAAATCCAACATAATATTCCATGAGGTTTACAATTTAATTTTAGGTTTTTTTTTTTTTAAAGGTTTTTCTTTACTAATTTGAGAATGTTACTGTTTCACATGCTTCAGTTATCAGACGCCAACACATCCTTACTTTTTGCACAATTGGCATCAAGTCCAAAAAAGTCTTTTTTGATGATGTACCGAACACACTGCAAAATCACATTTCTTTCATGCCGAATGTCTGGAGCTAAAAGCTAAAAAACAAAACATAAAAAGATTAGTTAGTAAATAAAATATATTCTAAAATATTGCATGCCTTCCCCACATAAAGAACACAGAATAATGAAGATGTATTATATAAACTAATTATTTTTTTGAAAAACAATACAAGGACGTTTCTTTTTGACTTATACCAAGACTATATAATAGCTTTCCAAACACAAATATTCACACTTGGGGTCTGCTCTAAGAGAATCTAATAGGGAAAAAAGGTTTAAAAGTCTATAATTCTTCATTCTAAAAATTATATCAAATTCCAAACCCAAAGCTATAATGGTATACAGTAAATACAAAATTAGTGGAACTAACAGTAAAGAACTCCAACTTTCCAGGACTTTCATAATTTCTCATTTTGGTACTTACCATAATTGAAAGAAAGCCAAAAATTTCCGGTATTTACAATAAGTACATAACCAAGGATTCATAGGTGGTTCACCAAAAAGGATAAATTTATTTTATCAATTTATTTCCTGATGTCATTAATGTGTGAAACATCACACAGGATCTTTCTATGGAAAAATGATTTAATTCACTACTTACAAGATGGACATTTAAAAAATTCATTTACTTCAAACAGCACATAAATTTATAAAATAGAGCACATTTCAGATCAATTTTAATAAAAAGTGACTACAACATCTCACAAGAATGTAGCCATACAATATTTTAGTTACACAACTTTGGCTGACAAGGGAAAAACAGTCTTTTCACAGACTGTCAAAAGATATTTTTGTGACTGCACTAAAAAAATTGGAATGTTTCTATTACTCTTAGAATATGAAAGTCTTGGATCTTTAAACAGTTTCATTTCCATTACTTAGAATCAAAAGATGCATGGCTTCTCTTCATAATTTCAAGAAAATAGATTTTTGAGCATATCACATTGAAAATAAAACCAATAATGCACAAAATAAATACTTTTTCTTTTCCCTTCAGCCTGCCATTGCATTTATCTGTGCTTACAACAAAAACTTAAAAAAGGTCAGTACACTAACATTCCTTTCTTTAGCAACCAGTTAAATCTAGATTTGTTTATTTTAATCAGTTTTTAAAATAGAGTTATTCCACATTTACTGTGCATCAGTAGTTACACATGACAAATGCAATTTAAGGATTAAGAAACACAGATGAGTCTTCAAGGTGCATACCATATGTCTCTAGGTAACCTTAAAAGACACCCGCACAAATATGGTGGCTCTATCTTCATGACAGGAGAAAGACACAAAGATAAGAATGTCAAGAATAATCACTTACCATTTCTAGGAGATATGGATGGTGTGTTCTTGGCTCAAATAATGTTTGAGAGTTGTGATAATCTTTTTTCCTCTTACAATTTGTCCGTTTAAAGCTTTTCTTTTGGCTCTCAGACTTGGCTTCTGAGGAATTCCTAACCGTCACTTTAACATCTGGACCTGGTCTCTCAGGAGTACTGCCGTGAAGACCCTGCTTCTCTGCCAGAACATCTGCTTCATTCTTGATAGGAACTTCTAAATGTGATTTAAAACAAACATACACACATACACAAATTTCACAAAGGTGAAATTTCCAAAAATAACAAAAGTCTTAATAATCCTCCCCCTACCTCCCATCTAATACTACTGACTTACTAATTAAAATTAAGCAAGTAAAATGTATAATATCTTTCAAGTTGAGAGCTATACCTGCCAAGAATTGAGGAGATTATCACAAAGAACTACAGAAAGCAAGCCCTATGAAGGAAATAGTAGTAGATGGAAACTTGGATCTGCATTAAGGAATAAAAAATACCAGGAACAGTAAGATGTGCATAAAAACAAAAAGCTTTTTTTCTCATTGGAAAAAAACTTTTTTAGGATAATGTAGGTGGGGTTTATAACATCTATAGAAATAAAATCTATAGTGACAATGACACAAAGGAAGGGAAAACTGTATCATGTCATAATCTTAAATTATATGAAATGATACATTATCATTTGAAAATATACTGCTATAGGGCCTCCCTGGTGGCACAAGTGGTTAAGACGCAACCTGTGAAGCTGTCCACAGCCACTGCAGCATGAGTTCTGATCCCAGGCCAGGGAGCTACCCACATGGCACAGCAGACCTCTCCTGTCTCACCCATTGCTCCCCTCAGCAGTGTATTTCAGTCAATCTGCCTATTCTGTTCCCCACTCTGTCTCTGGTGAATCCTCTCTCTCCACGCCCCATGCACCTCTGGCCTGTACCCCAGTTCTTAGATAATAAAAAAATCTTTTTTTAAAAAAGAAAACATACCACAATAAAGTTACATATTATAAATTCTAGACCAACTCCTAAGAAGTACAACTAATAAATGAGTATCTGCATTCAAAATAAAAAAAAAAAAAACAGGATTAATTCAAAGGGAGGAAAAGAACAAAAATAGAAAAACAGATAAAGCAAATAGAAACAAACTGTCAATAATTACTCTATATGTAAATAGTTCAAAGACTCCATTTATTAAAAGGCTGGGTGGTCAGATTGGGAGGGAAAAAAAACAAGACCAACTATATGATGTCTACAAGAAACCAAACTTAACTGTACGCAATCCTTGTGTTGCACAATTTGAAGTGACATTAAAATTCAGTTACTAAGAACAAAGCAAAATGAGTACTGAAAGTCACAAGTTAAAAGAAAAAAGATGGAAGACAACACGCATACAACAATTATACAGCTGGATGGCTACATTAATATCAGAAAAAGAGTATTTCAGAACAGGAACTATCACCAGTGATAATGAAGGACAATATATTAAGAACATAAAACAGTAACACCTACTCACAGAGTATGCAGCAAAAACTCATGAGAATTGAGAGGAAAAATAGACAACTCCATTATTAGGGTTGGAGATATGAACACTCTACTTTCAGTAAGTGAAGAAAAACTAGACAGAAAATGAGCAGAGACCCAGAAGACCTAAGTACCACTAATATTCAACTCAACAAAGAACTCAACCCAATACACATTCTTGCCAGCTTCACATGAATATTTACCTTGTGCTGGACTACATAAAGCAAATATCAATAAGGTGAAAAAACTGAAAGCATAGAGAGTATGTTCCCTGATCAAAAATAATCAAAGTAAAATCAAGAACAGAAAGCTAGCCAAAAAACTTGAAAACATTTGGAAATTAAACAACATACTTTTAAATAACACATGAGTTAAAAGAACAAATCATAATAAAAATTAGAAAAGATTTTGAAATAAAAATGAAAATACCAAGTGTCATATTTATGAGATGTAGTTAAAAGTAATGCATGAAGGTAAATGTATAGCTTTGAATGCTTATAGCAGAAATGAAAAGTCTAAAATCAATCACCCAAGCTCCAACTGTAACGAGGTAGAGAGTTCTGAGAAGGAAAGAAATAAAAATTAAAACTCAGTGCATTAGACAAATGGCCAACAGGCATATGAAAAAATGTTCAACATCACTTGTAATCAGGGAAATGCAAATCAAAACTACCATGAGATACCATCTTACACCAGGGAGAATGGCACATATTAAAAAAACTAGCAACAACAAATGTTGGCGAGGATGTGGAGAAAAAGGAACTCTCCTGCACTGCTGGTGGGAGTGCAAACTGGTCCAACCACTATGGAGAGTCCTGTGGAGATTCCTCAACCTGTTAAAAATGGAGCTTCCATCTGATCCAGCAATTCCAATCCTATCTATCTACCCAAAGGACACAAAAACATTAATTCAAAAGGACACCTGCACCCCCATGTTTATTGCAGCACTATTTACAATAGGTAAGCTATGGAAGCAACCCAAATGCCCAAAAATAGATGACTGGATCAAGACGATGCGGTACATATACACAATGGAATATTACTCAGCAATCAAAAAGATAAACTCATGCCATTTGCAGCAACATGGATGGAGCTGGAAGGGATCATGCTCAGCAAAATAAGCCAGAAAGAAAATGAAAATTACTGGATAGTCTCACTCATAGCAGGAATTTAGAAAACCCAAATAAGGGATCAGGAAAAAGATTAATTATAATAAAGTAAAAATCAAAATCAACAGGCAACTATAAACCTGAGACACACTGTGGGGTGGGGGGGAGAAGGGAGTAGGATCAAAACAAGGGTGGTGGGAATTTTATGGGGACTATAACCAAGACGAAAATGCATATATTGCACAAAAATGAAAAATGGGGCCTCACCGGTGGCGCAGCGGTTGAGCACTGGGCTGCAAAGCTGCCTGCAGCCTCTGCAGCGCGGTTCGATCCCTGGCCACCGGGTGAGGGTCCCACATGGTGTGCAGACCTCTCCTGGTGCCCGCTGCTCCCCTCAGCAGTGTATCGTCAGTGTGCCTGTTATGCTCCCGCTCTGGCTCTGGTGAATTCTCTCACCCTCCCGCGCTTCTGACTGTACCCAGTGCTTGTATAAATAAATAAATAAAATCTTAAAAAAAGAAAAATGGTGTAAAAAATATACAAAATTAAATTTTTTAAAAAAAATTTAAAAAAACAGTGCATTAGAAATAGTAGAGATAATTCAAACAAGCCAGAAGTTGGTTATTTGAAAATATCAATAAAATTAACAAACACATGGCATAATAGAGCAAGAAAAAAGGAACAAAATACTAATGAACAATATGAGGAAAAATTGTAAACAATTTTATAAAATGTCAAAAAAAAAAAAAAAGAAAAAGATGAAACACAGTCTTTTAAAAAACAAATTACCAAAACTGACTTAAGAAAAAATAGAAAACCTGAGTAGTCCTAAATCTAGTAAGGAAATTTCAAAGTTTAAAATCTCACAAAGAAAATACCAAGTGCACATAGTTTCACTTTTGAATACTACAAACAAGAAAATGGTAGCAGTTCTACGCAAGTCCTTTAAAAAGAAAAATTAACAGGTCACAGCTCATACCAAATTCAGACCAATATCCCTCAGGAACATAGATGCAAAAATTCTTAGAATATTAGCAAATCAAATTCAGCAATGTATTAAACAGGTGATATATATCATGACCAAGAAAAATTTTATCCCAGAAATACAAGGTTGGTTTGACATTCTAAAATCAATGTATTTAACCATATTCGTAGAATAAAGACCACAGGATCAGTTTTAAGATAGGAATCCCCTCTGCTCACCCCCAGAAGTTATTTTACATTTTGATTACCATGAATTATAGGCTGATGGGACACAAAAGGTCTATTTCCTAACCCTAACCCTAAAAGCTGAGAAACTGGATTCAATTGGCTAAACAAGAGCATTGGGAATCCAATCAAATTCTTCAAAATCCTCAATACTCAAGCATTACATAGGATTTGAATGTGGAAATTACATCTGAAAGAAAGTAAGTTTTACAAGCACAGATTCTGGACTCAAACTGTTAGGTTCAAGCTCTAGTTCCATCACTTACTGGCCAAAATGCACACATGCTTCCAAATACCCAAAAAGACTAACACGCAAACCCAGGATATCAAACTAACCAATTTGGACATACTACTCATGGAAATTTTCTTGCCATGTGTAGTTTAGTGATTCTGACCACATCAGAACCCAGTATAGCCTCTCCTTTTCCTTACGTCTTCCTCGATGGAGCCTTTCCTTGTTAAAACTTTCTGGAAAAACATTACTCATTTTCAAGGTCCTCTATAAACTTTACATTGATTCCTAAATTGGGATAGATCTTAACTGTGAAGACACAATTGCTAAAATCTGTCAGAAAGAATTAATCTGCTCCTCTCCATTTAGAATCCACAGAGCAGTATTGCAACGCCATTTCAAGGTTCAGAGAAGGCCCACTTTATTTCCTTGATTTATTTATTCTAAGGTCCCTGTGTATCTTATCCAAAATTAACACTAAAAGCTAGGAATGTGTTAGTGACCTGAATGGCTTATTAAAGCTGAATTCAAACTATATAAAATAATTCTTAAGGCTTATGAATGTAAAGCAAGAGTTATTTCCTTAAGGCAGGACAATTAAAAACAGATTCACACAAAATCAAATACATCTTTTAAGAGCTAAAGAGAAGGTGATGCATTATTGTGCAGGAAAATGACAGGTGCCAGACAGAAAAAGAATAAAATGGAAGACAATATAGTTGGCTTCTTTAGATTTTTCAGTCCCTAAACCTAGGTTTTACATCAGTTCTGCTACATACTAGCTTTGCAAACTTAACCCCTCCGAGTTTAAAGTTACATAAAATACAAGGGTAGGACATCAATGATCGCTTTGAGTTTTCATTTTTCCTTCTAATTTAAAATGATGGCAGCCTCAAAATGAAGACACAAATATAAACACATCTTATCATGAGAGAGAGAGAGAGAGAAGACGGCAAATGCAGCTTGATTTTATGGGATTCAGTAATCTGGTAATAGCTTTCTTTGCTCTCACCTGTCATAAATACAACTGATAAGCAGGAAATGTAATATGTGTTTAAAGATAACTCCATCTTCATTTCAGTGTATTAGAAACAAGAGTAAGGAAATAAATACTGTTTTTCTTAAAATTAAAAATTTAAGAAGCAACTATCTATTATGAAATAATCTGAAAATCCAAAGTGGTTTATATTTCAAACTTCAAACAGTTTTTAATAAGCTCTCATAGAAAACTACAGCTCATTAAAAAAAAAGAAAAATAATTTCTAGGTTACAGATTAATAATAAACATTATCTTTCATATGAAAGTCCAATTCTGGGCCTCCCTGGTGGCTTAGGGGTTAAAGCCAGTGCTGTCAAGCTACTGCCAGCCACCAGCTGGCCAGGGAGCAACTCTCATGGTGCAGCAGACCTCTCCTGTCCTGCCCGCTGCTCCCCTCAACAGTGTATTTCAGTAGATTTCCTGTTTTGCTCCCCACTGTCTCTGGTGAATCCTCTTACCTCCCGCACCTCCGGCTTACACCCCAATTCTTGTATGGGTAAATAAATAATATCTTTAAAAAAAATAGTTCAATTCTCCCTTATTCACCATCTTCCAACCAAACAAACATTAATTACCTATAGCTCAGTCAACAAGGAAAGTGATGTAATCTTTATCCAATTACATTCAAATCTTTCCTTTATTCTACATAGGCACCTTTAAACCCTATCTCCGTTCTCTCCATATAGCCCCTATTGTGATTATACATATTTTTGTTTTATAATGATTTTTTAAAAATTCCTTTTCCTGTGATTACATCTTCTCCTGAGAGATATACACACATGAAATTTCTCACGGTTGGTAAAACATAAATAAAATCACTATGTGAAGCCAGGTTTCCACAACATAGCACATGAGCTTATGTTTCCTAGACATATGCTGGATTAGTAAATATGAACTTTGGGTTAAGAACTGCCACAGTGCGTAGCCTCTGCAGTGCCGATTAGATCCCCGCTGGCCTCGGAGCAACCCACATGGCGAGCAGACCTCTCCTGTCTCGCCCACTGCTCCGCTCAGCTGTGTATTTCGTCAGTTTGCCTGTTCTGTTCCCTGCTCTGTCTCTGGTGAATCCTCTCACCCTCCCGTGCATCCAGCCTGTATCCTGGCTCTTGTATAAATAAAACAAATTTTTAGGGTGCCCCCTGGTGGCGCAGCGGTTGAGCAACAGGCTGCGAAGCTGCCTGCAGCCTCTGCAGCGCTGGTTCAATCCCCGGCTGCCGGTGAAGGTCCCACATGGCGCGCAGACCTCTCCTGCCGCCTGCTGCTGTATTTCAGTGTATTTCAGTCAGTCTTCCTGTTCTGTTCCCCGCTCTGGCTCTGGTGAATTCTCTCACCCTCCCACACTTCTGACTGTACCCAGTGCTTGTATAAATAGATAAATCTTTTAAAATAAATAAATCTTAAAAAAAAAAAAAGAACCGCCACAGTACCACAGATTAACAGCTTACTCACAGTTCTTTCAGGTGATCCTAAAAGTGAAACTAGAGATTAAGCTGGTTTATCATCATCTTTACAAAGCAAGATATGAATCCTGAAATTGCTGATTCAAAAGGCTCTTGAAAGGATTCCATTTCTTCCAACATTTAAAACACACATGCTAATACAACCGAAAGTATAGGGTTACTGTGTTTTCCATTTGAGATAATTTTTGTAAATGTTCTCTATAAAAAACAATGCTCTAACTATATTTAAGGAATTCTATCATCTTTCTTTGCAATAACGATCTCTCTCGACCCTCAACCTACCGAAGCTGCTAGCAAACATGTTAACAAAAGTCTCTTGACAGTAAAGAAGAAATTAACTTTCTTTGCTGTTCATTGAAAGTATTCTTTGACCCATTAGCAGGTATTATTTCTTCTCCTTCCTATTCTTTCACTGTCTTGTTTTTTGCCTTGTTCTCCATAGTAGCAAAATATTTCCCTCTTTTCTCCAGGTTTCTTATACCACATGTTAACCCTACTTCTGAATCAAATGAGAAAAGAATTTGGAACTCAAATAGATATACGTGGCATAACTTGCCCTCAGATACATACACATGAATGGATGTTACTGACTAGTCTATATCAAAGACAAAGAGCAATAAAACAGAACAAACCTACATGTAACCACTGAGCTCATGACTTACCTTCTGGCTCACTGTCTGACCCTGAGAGGCTACCATAGTTGCTCATTAGTGAACACAGGGCTGGTGTCACTTCCTTGGGTATGACAGCACTTTGTGGTTTCTCCTCTTTATCAGACTCTGAAGTAGAAAGGGAAAGAAAGAACTTAGCTTTAAACAGTATACCAAAACATCCACCACCATATAAAAAACTGATAGCTCCTCAGTAAACCTTATATGTAAGTGAAAATAAGGTAATTTCTGGACATTTCCTTCATTTAAAAAAAAATGAAAATCAGGAGACCCAGGAAACTACTTAATTTAAATCTTCATGAACAGAGAAGCTACTTGCCCCAAAGAAAAATCAGAGGGGCAAATGGAAACTATACACAGCTCATTCACTACGCTTCATAGTTTACAGAATTTTAAATTCATCTCTTTGATATTAATGAATTTTATTTATGCTATTAATTAAGTTTATTCTAATAGCAAGACGAGAAGTTTAATGCCACTGGATTAGGATTACTATGACAATTAAGTTTAAGAGTAAAAAAATATAAAAAATAACCACCCTTTTTTGTTGTTTTTAAGACATGTTCTAAGGACACAAATAACAAAGCCATTCTGCAGATAAAGTTTTAGCCAGAATTATACTAAAATCAATCTATACAAAGTTTTTTATTAAAAGGCTAAGAAACTTAAGCAAACAAATGAAGCATGAGAATTTAGCAAGTACTAGAGAGCATGCCAAAGGTGAAGGGATTGAGCAGAGCCCAGCAAACTTAGTTGTAGCCCAGTGATCTCACCTATTACCTTTATTTTTGGCAGATGAGAAAATGAATTAAGTCTATTCATAAAAAAAACAAATAAAAATAAAGGCTAACTGGAAAATGAAGACAAAAAATAACTTGTCTGTGTAATGAACCAACTCAACCCCTAACCAATAAGAAATGTTTCAAGAAAGCATTGAATGTTCACCAAATTAGTCTAGGGAAAACCAAAACACTCATATGAAATTCACTAATAAATAACCTTATCGAAGTGTGAAGCTACCACATTCTAGTTGATGAAGTTAAATCTTTGCTCTACTCATCCACACTACCCAGCACCAAACCCTCCCTAAACTGCTACTGTTAATTTTTAGCTGATTTTTTACCGGTTCTCTTGCATTAATAAAGGTAAAGTTGTTTTTATATATCTCAAAATTATTAGTGGATTAAAAAGAAATCTGCAAGTAAGAATGCAGACTGTTTATTCCATTGTTTGAACGACAGGCTGATTGTAGTATTTTCTTCCAAGACCCAAAGAGAGGTGCCTAACAGCATCTAGAATGCTGTCTAGTTCACTAGAATGCTCTATAAAAGTATGAGCTCATTTAATCTTACATGGTATCATTTTCATTATTAATTTCAATGAAACCAAAATTCAGATTTGAGTAACTTTTCTTTCAGGTAACAAAAAATCTAACATTTGTGTCAAATTTAAATCCTGGCTGACTTCAAATTCCAATTCTTAACTAGTGTGGCAGAGTATCTCCTACTGATTATCTATAGAAAGCCATATATTGCCCTCATTTTAAAGTGAAATCATCTGATTGTAATGTCTCAAGTTAGTAATAATACTAACAAATGTCTTCTTTCAGCTACAACTCCATTTCTCTTTCACAGCAAAATTCTAACATCTACTTGATCTAATTCTTACAGCTGTCTAGCCTACTCCAGAATCTACTCCAATCTCTTTCAGAACCACCAGATCACTAAACTTGTCCTTCCAAGTTTGGAAGGAATCTGATTCTGATTCCTCTGTATTGCTAAACCTAGAAGTTATTTCTTGGTTCTCATTTAACTTAGTGACAATATTTGACAATAATGATGTTCTGCTTTTAAAAAATATTTTCTTTACTTTGCTTTCTTGTCCAGTCTACCTATTGACTCTCACTGAACAACTTCTAAAGTTTATGAGTGCTCACTTTCCAACCCACACTAACCTTTTCTCTTTATGTCTCCTCTTTTTAAAACCTTATTTTATCTCAAATCTTTAAAAAGTATATAGTAGCAGTCTTCTATTTTCCCTAAATTCCTGAATAATCTTATTGCCCATTCAACATCTCTACTTACATGTCAAAGAAGCATCTTAAAGGTTAACATGATCAAAAACAAGTATTTGATTGCTATTCCAAAAAATAGTCTCCATTTCAATAAATGCCAAATCTTCCTTCTCAATGGTAAAGATAAAACCTAGCCAATCATACTTTACTCTTCAGATTCGCCCACATATTGCAACCACTCTATCAACTGTCTATCTAGATCTATCAACACAGAGCTGTCAACATTTCTTCCTTACCTAAATAACTATAAAAGCCTCCTAAAAGATATCCCTGATATGACCCACTTCTTTAGGTAATGACTATGACAGAATTTTGGACAACTCTCAAACCACCACAGCAATAAACATTTGGGGATGTTTTTTGTTTACCCTAAATTTTTACTATTAATTTTACCATTCATCAGTAGATCTTATCTGAAATAATTATTTCTGTGGTGTTCCAGTGGGAAATTTCTCTCATTTCTTCTACATTTATTAATTGGAATTCTTCTGTAAGAAAAGATTTGTTCCTGTGATATTATGATCAAAGGGACAAAATATACATTTTGGTCATATCAGATGACCAAAATTTGGTCATCATTCACAATTCCTGACTCACAGATTCCAAAAGATCACAATTTCCTAAGTGTTGATTGTGTTAAATATCCTTTGCCATGTTTATTAAGGTAACATTTGGAAAACATGAGAGGAGGATAGGCTATTTGCCAGGGAACCTGCCTAATGAAATGAAGTTTGGAACTTCCAGACCCACCCTCTGAGCTTAAGGGAGGGGAAAAGCGCTGGGGTGTTGAAGTCAATTGCCAATGGCCAATAAGTTAACTGGTCAAGTCTATGTAATGAAGCCTCCATACAAATCCCCTAGAAGAAGGGCTTTAGAGAGCTTCAGGGTTGGTGAACACCAATGGTGAATGGAGGTTTGGGGTGAATGCCATGCCTGGAGAGGATACAGAAGTTCCACAACTTTTTTCCATATTTTGCCCTATGTCACTGTAGGGTAAATGATTTTCAGTCTTTTCTGCCCTCCTGCCACTAGGATTGCCCCACCTGATGGGGCACCTGCATGTTACATTGTTATAGTTGTGTTGTTTACTTCTGTGGGCCATGACTGCAGTATTGAGGTATTGCCAGGAGAAGCAGAAGCAGGAGAGAGAAGGGGAGAAAGAACGCCAGGAGAGAGAGAGAAGCCCAGAGCAAAGACTTGCTGGGGGCTTGGAGGCCTGCTGGCTTCCTGCCCCCCAATCCCCCACCCAGCATCCCTGCCTGCCCCTGCCGTGTACCTGGTTGCTGCACTACATGTAAAAACTCAATAAAAGCCCGAGAAAGCCACTGAGGGCTTCAGGACTCTACCCGGTCTGCTTGGATCATAGATGAACCTGCTCTGTGTCCTTCCTGCCACTACAGTCACTCATCTGGCTGTTGATTCATATCCTTCAGTATCTTTTGCAGTAAATGGGTAATCTAGTAAGTAAACGGGTTTCCTGAGTTCTGCGTGCAGTTCTAGCAAATGAACTAAACCTGTGGAAGGTGCTTGGGAACCTCTGATGTATAGTCAGTTGGTCAGAACAGAAGTACAATTAATAATTATTCTGAGTTTACAAAGGGCACAAGAAGTCTAAGGGAACCTTGGAGACCTCTGATGTTTAGTCAGTCAGAACCATGGACTTGCAGTTGGTGTGTGAAGTGAAGGACAGTCCTAAGACTGAGCCTTTAAACTTGTGGAATCTGATGTTATCTCCTGGTAGATAGTGTGAGAAATGAGCTGAACTCATGAAAACCCTGCTGGTACCCAAGAACTGCTTGTTGGGATGGGAAATCTCCACATACCCACTGAAATTAATCTCAGCACATACCAGCAATGTAGTCCCTCCTCTCTTATATTCATTTATATCATTACGGAGTTGTGGCTATTTTATTCTTTGGGTTATGATATATTATTTATATTGTGGCTCAAACTTTGACCAACTTTGGTCATTAGGAGCACTTTACATGAAACCACCCTGATTTTTTGGATCACTTTCTTACTTCCTGGCACTATTTGTATTTTTCCTGTTGGAGCCATACAATCAACCATTTCTCCAAAAAGCCATGGTTCCTTTTTTTACCATTGGAGAATGGTAAAACCACAATCTAGGAACTTGTGCACTTGCTACTAGTATTACATAGCTCATTATATTTGACTGCCTCCCCAAGAGTAAGAGTTCACACAAATAAACACTTCTTCTATTTTGTTTCCCCTGTTATGCCTTTGGACTCCAGTACACATAGTAACAATTTTAAAATGGGAAACATTCTTTTGGCACTTCAAAACACCCTATACAGTGACTTTTCATCCCAAATAACAACAGAAGACTGTTCCTAAACTCCTTTGGATCTACCTAGCATTCAAACAGAGATTTTTAGCAGCTATCCTGAAAAGACTATGCTGAAGGCACACTTTTTAATAAAAAGAGCCAAAACGTCTCTTTAAACTAAAAAAAGAACCAATATAACAATTGTAGCAATGACAATAACAATCAAATTTTAAAATAAGTAGCTCAAATTTTTCTTACTGTTAAAGCACTAGAAGCATTTCCGTAGGGTAAATCCTACCTCTCTCATACATACATATCAAACACTATGGGAAATATTAACACTAGTCTGAATTTCTGAAGACATGGAGAGACTTCTCTGCATTGTGGTGCTGAGTAAGCAAAATGAAGGTCCTCAGTAAATTCCTGTTGAAGGTAGAATAAAAAATTGCTCTTTGGATATCTTGTCCAACTGTAAACAGTAGTTGTAAGAGTTTCCTATTTGGCTTCTTTCAACAACTGTTTCTTTACTTGTCTCTCCCCATACCCTCTTCTCACTATTTTCTATTGTCCTTATGGAGCAAAAACATAGTTACGTGTACTGGCCCCAAGATGATTTATAAATTAAGTATACTAAAGAAAATGCTACATAAACATTGAAAAGTCACTGTAAGAAACGAAAACTTTTAAGTTTTCAACTCTTAAAAACAGGCATTTATGAAAGCTGATATGCAGTAGTAGTTGATT